GCCACCAAGCCCAGCTTGGCCAATTATTTTTATTTCCAAGCAGAATTTAATTGATGTCCCTCTCAGAACTTTGTGAGAGATCTGCCACCCTTCCCCCTGCGTGTGTGTGTGCGCGTGTGCGTGCGTGTGTGTGTGTGTGTGTGTGTGTGTGTGTGTGTGTATTCAAATCCACTTACTCTGATTCCTGTTCCAAGCACTGTTTTCAATGCTAGATGAAACAAGTCTCTTCCCATAAGAAGCAACTATCTTCCTACTCACCAGGTCCTGAAACCTGATTATATTTGGCTCTTCTCTCTCCACTGACTTTGCAGATCCACTCAGTTGACAAATCCTATTGTTTCTGCTTTCACTGAGTCAACATGTATTTACTGGGTATTTGCTAAAATACCAGGCTAGGTATTAGGCTAGGTGCTTTAAATATTTCATTTCACTTTATTTCCGTAGCAACCCCATGAGGATAGAGAGGATTCTCATTGGCTTAGAGAGGTCAGATAACTTGCCAGAGAAAGCAAACTAGGCAGCAGAGGAGCTGGGCTTCAAGTGTGGGTCTTTCAGGTATAATTTATCTCCCAGCACTTCACTCCCAGAGCAGATTCCAGCTCCTCAGCCTAGCACTTGAGGCACTGCTGTCTTCTAGGTCTTATCATGTTTCCTTTCTCCCCTTGCACCCATCACTAACTACTCTGTTTCTTGAATGCTTTTTGTTATTATTGTTATTTTTGTTTTGTTTTGTTTTTTGAGACAGGGTCTTGCTACGTAGTTCAGGCTGGCCCTGAACTTACTTTGTAGCCCAGACTGGCCTTCAACTCATGGCGATCCTCCCGTCTCAGCCTCCCAAGTGCTGGGATTACAGGTGTGCTCCACCATGCCCGGCCTTTGAATGCTTTCTTAACGCTCTGCCTTTACCCACTGTTTCTTCCGCTTAAAAGTTAGCCCTCCCATCTTCTGCTGCCCTCCACTCCCAAGCTTGGGGAGTCCTGTCTCCTCAGAACTCTTCCACTGTTTTATCTGACTCTCTTTTATGACAGTTGGAATTTGCAGCTGCTTCAGGGTCATGTGGGTGACGTGTGTCTTGCGGCCCCAGCTGTAGGTCATGTGTGTGTGTGCCCTCAGCAACAAGAGTGCAAGGAGGGCCAGGCACTGTGACTGAGCAGCTCCCATCTTCCTCTGCTCTGGCTGCGTCAGGAGCTTAGCTTCTTTTTTAGGATAATTGAGTTTATTTTTTATTTTTCGAGAGAGTCTTGCTATGTTCCCCACACTTGAGTCTTGAACTCATGGGCTCACAAAATCATTTATTATCTTCTAAAGTTAAACAGAGCCAAGTGTGGTGGCGCACACCTGTAATCCCAGCACTCAGAAGGCTGAGGCAGGAGGATTGTTGCAAATTGGAGGCCAGCTTGGGCCGGCCTGAACTGCATAGCAAGACCCTGTCTCAAAAAGACAGTAAGTAAATAAATTAAAAAAAAAAAAAGTTAAGCAGAACACCATTGGGATTATTTGGGGCTTTCCATTCTGTGGAGTGGTTTCTAGCGGACAGGACAATTGTATATAATTATGGTTCTGCTTGTGACCTTGAACAGCTCACAGACTCTCTCAGGACCTTAGTTTCTTCCTCAGGAAAGTGTATAGAGGTACTGGGCGGGAGTGGGGAGGTGATTGTGAGGAGAATTGACAGAAATGATCCCTGAGGTCTCTTCTTGCTCAGGCACGTTTTGACTTGAACTCTCTGAACCCTTCCAGGGCTGTTAAAGGAAGCAGAGTAATGTGATGATTAACAGTATGGGATGCTTTTATTGGTTGCAAACAACAGAAGTCTAATTCTGTCGGCTTATGTTTTTAGTTGTTTTGTGGTCCATATTGAACCCAGGGCCTTGTGCATGCTAGGTTCACTCTATACCCCCAGTCCTTGTTAGTTCTGTTGACCTCAGAAAGGGAGTTTATAGGTTCAGGTGACTAGAAAGTCTGGGAGTGGGCCAAGTGTCAGATGTGCTTTAATCCAAGGATTCTTATGTTTTCCTGAATAAAGCTTATTTCTCTGAGATTCTCCCAGCTCTGCCGTCCACTGTGGATAACCTCATCCTCAAAGTTGGCAAAGTGGGTGCCGTAGTTCAAAGCCACTTGACAGATAACAGCTGTACATCATGCTAGTTCAGAACAACAAAGAAGGTTTCTCACCTCAGCCGTCAAACCAAAGTCTTGGGCTTTATTCTGATTGGACCAACTTAATGTTAGATGTCCACTCTTTGTCCACATACTTCCCGGGGCCCAGAAATGGCTGATTGGCTCAGGTCACTTTGGGGCTGGCTCTGGAGGTTGGGGAGAGGTCAGCCCCACCAAAGTCACAGGCAGTAGATCCTGGGGAGTTTGAGCACAACTCCATGTTACAGCCACAGTGTCCATGATTTGATTCTGGCGCTGATACCTGTGTGTTGTTGGGTAAGTTACATAATTTATCAAGCCTCAGTTTCCTTGTCTGTGAAATGAGTTAATAATGGACTGTTTAAGGATTAAATTAAATATTGGATGTAAAGCACTCGCCGTAGTTCCTGGCAGAGTGCGATGATGATGATGCTGGTCTGGAGAAACTGAAGGCATCGGGGAACCATGGCATTAGCTGCAGTTTAGGAAGCAGCAAAGGCCAGGAATGGGACCTAGTCAGACGCAGGCATATCCGGCGCCAGGAAGGTTCCCGTTTGATCTGCGCATGTCATACTCCTGACCGCTGCCTTTTTGTGCTCTTCTTACATCTTGTCTAGAAATGTTTTCTGCCCATTGTCTGCCCTGCCAAACCTCCTCGTCTTCCAAGGCCTGCATAAGTGCCACCTTAGAGTCAGTCGTTTAGGTCAGACCTCGTAGCTGCCTATGTGAGTCATCCTGTGAACGGCACCAGTTATATTTAAGGACTCAGTGTCTAGGCTTGCCTGACCAGGGTTTGCTGCACTAATGCAGGGCAATTTGAGGAGTTACCCAATCTCTCTATGCTGTAGTTTCCTCCTCTCTAAAACAGGTCTCAGTGCTAGCTGCTTCGGAGAGTTGTCGAAAGAACGAAATGAGATAATGTACATAACATGCTTAGCATGGTGCTAAAAAGTAAATAGTAGAACTTAGTGACTATTACTAGCTCGATAAGGCCGAGGTCCCTGTCCCTGTAGCAGGTACTGCTATTATGCTGGGCATGTAGTAGGTGCTGAGTAAACACTTGGAAGATTTGAAGATGGTAGTTCTTTCTCCTCATCACCATTTCCTTACCGTACCAGAAAAAAGAAAAAATCATCCCCTAAATGCTGGTAAAGTCACTGTGGCAAAGCAGATGATCTGTATGATACAACGTGTGACTGGCAGGGAGGATGGAGCGATAAGGGCAGGAAGAAGTAGATAGGGTGGCATGTGACTCGCAAGGAACCAGAAGTTAAGAAGCAACCAGCAAGAGGCTGTTCTGTGTCTCACCCTCCAGCCGTCAAGTCCAGCATTACTCCGGTCATTTGGTTCAGCTGGTGATGAGATGGGGACCAGCCAGTCTATGTGCTTCCCGCCTGTCTCCGGACCCCACCTTGTGGGCTGTGGGGATGTGATGGAGGGGCAGAGTCTCCAGGTAGGTGTCTCTCGCTCCGCCCCTGCCTGCCCTGTGACTGCATGATCGCAGTTCCAGGAAGGGGAGGCTGACTTACAGCTGGTCTGGACGTGGGTATTAGCCCCGGCTCTGTCTTCCCTGGCCTTTCTTCTTCTTCTTCTTTCCAAGCACCGTATTGGAAAACTTCCCAACTGACAGAGACCATGAGTTCTTTCTTCAAGTAGGAAGGAGGGGGCCCTAGCTGCAGAGACAGCTCCTCTGTCTTGAGAGCAGATGCCTAATTATGGAAAGCTTTTTGTTTTATTTTGTTTAATCTCATCCCAGTGCACACGGATAAGAACAGCAGTGGCCGTGGCTGTGTCACTGCCTGGGTCCTCTCCTCTCCTGCCGCCCGGTTTCCCTCCTGCTTCTTCTGGACTTTCCTCCAGCAGTGTCTACTGTATCCTGAGAGCCAGCCTGGAGGGGCCAAAGGGCAAATCTGTAGCTCCTAGAGATTTTCCAGGCTTGGGCTCAGGGCCAGATTTAAATCTTTCAGTGTTCCAAGCACTCAGATGTTTAGTGCCCCTCCATCCAAGATGTAACTCGAAAGAGTTCGCTGTTTGAAATAACACAACGCTTCGTGTAGGCTGGAAATAAGACTGTTTCCTTCTGGATCTCCTGACCGTCAAGGCTGGGGATGGTAATGAAACCTAAGTTTCCCTGTGTTGGTGCCCTTCCCGGCTAGTGCCACAACGTGTGTCTGCCGGGAAATCTTAATGGTGCTTGGACTTCTTGCTCTGAGCTGCTGCTGTCTTATTTCCTACAGGGGAGCTTCTTTCGACTCTTCTACCCCTGTCAAGAGGCAGGGGAGGCCACGGAGCGACCGCTGTGGATTCCCCGCTACGAGTACTGCACTGGCCTGGCCGATTACCTGCAGTTTAATAGGCGCTGGGTGGGGCTGCTGTTCAACCTGGCTGTGGGTAAGGCTGGCCTGGCCCTAGGTGTTCTTTGTTGCCTGGTTATGTCCCTAGGAGAACTAAAGTACCTTTTAGGTTTTTTTTGGTCTTTTTGAGACAGGGTCTCGCTATGTAATTCAGGCTGGCCTCAAGCTCACTTTGTAGCCCAGGTTGGTCTTGAACTTGCAACAATCCTCCTGCCTCAGCCTCCCGAGTGCAGGGATTATAGGGGTGCACCACCACACCCAGCTGCTTTTAGCTTGTAGAGTCTTTTTGTAGTGGGTGGGATTGGACAAGTTACCCAGTCTGAATTGCTGCCTTTGCAGGGTTGTAGTATAGGAAGTATATAAAGCCTGTAGTACAGTGCTTGGGGCATTGAACGGGTCCTACAGGCAGCAGCTATGAGTCCTTGATGCAGCAGTTAGTAATTCTCACTCTCCGCCAGCTGTTGTGTAGATTGGCCATTCTTAACTCAGGGAGCAGACAGCCTCCTGCTGCTCTTCTTCTAGCCCTCCCTCTTCTGGGGGGTGCTCTCATCGAATCATCCACTTCTTCCCAAAGGCCCCGAGCCCAGGAACTCTGCCTCCTGCCTTGGCATCTCGAGTATCTGCCCAGACTTGTGGAGTGTTGCCTTTTTTGTTTGCTTGGTTTGTTGGTTTGTTTGCTTTGGCGTGTTTTGATCATGCTGGGCACAGAACCCAGGGTCGTGTGCGTGAGCGAGCGTTGGATCCAGCACTGTGCTTCAGGAACCCCCTGGGTTTATCTTCCCTCTTTTTATTGTGTTCACTCCAGCAAAGAAAAGAGGAAGACAGTAGATGGTGATTGCCCTGGGGTGCTTAGGGACAATCTGTGGTTCTCCCCAGGGGAGGGACACAAATGCCTGCCAAGCCTGTGCTTGGTCTGTCCTTGGGATCGCAATTTCCGGGCAGCCAGAGATTCTATAGCCTGTGTCTCTACCAGGATCTTGTCGCCTGCCTGTTAGCTGGAATGGCCCCTTTAAGCCGAAGGACTCTGGATACCCCTTGATCATCTTCTCCCATGGCCTAGGAGCTTTCAGGTAAGAAGTTTTGAAACCCAGACTTTGACATATTCTCAGTTATGGCTGTTGAGTCTTAAGTGATCCTTAAAGGGCTGTTTCCATGTGCCAGATGGTCTCATCTGCCATCTGCTTCCTACCAAGCACCACGTCCATCTTTTTGCCTTTCGCAAACCCCTTTCCCTGGTGGAGCCTCGCACCCTTCACTTTTTATTTCTAGCATTTATGTAAATGTACACTTTCGCTGTCTTCCTATGCTACAGCCCAGAAGTTCTAGGAAGAGCTTGAACTTTATAATCAGAGGATCCTTTATTCAACCTATGTCGAGGGACTGTTCTGTACGTGGCACTGGCATGGTGGGCAGTAAGACAGACTTGGCTCCCTGCACTCACAGAGCCCGCAGCCTGACCTCTTTCTCAGCTAGCCGCTTGTGCACTGTGGGAGCCTGGAGGTTTCAGCACCTGCCCAGTGGGCATTCCGCTCCCACAGGGTGGTCTGTGAGAGAGCAAGCACTTAGGAGGATTGATGCGGAGAGGTGCACGTTCTGTCATCTGTCCTCTCCCTTTCTCCACGTGGAGGGACAGGGTGCTCTCTCACTAGACTTGGGAAACTTTGGCTTATGTTTCAGGAATCTTGCCATAACTTGAAGAATCTTCCCAGAATTCTGATTTCCACACCACGATGTGTTACATACTGTAGCTTAATAATGGTAGTTCAAGTGCTCCTGGTCAACCTCAGGAATGTTTTTCTCTATTGATCTATCAACATATATGTCTAGGTTATGTTCGAATGTGGCAGCATCTCAAAGACTTTACTACCCCCAAACCATTCCACACCATAGCCAGATCTGTTTTAAAACCAAATATGATTTTGTCATTTCAGACCTTGAACAGTGCCTGGCATATAGTAGGTGCTTAATAAATATTTGTTGAGTGAGTGAATGACTGTCCTTCCTCTAATTGAAACTTCTTACTAGCACCTTGAACTTAATTCCATTGTTTTCGTGGTCTTACCTAGATGCAGGCCCAAGATAAAGTTTCTAGGTTCATTTGCGCTACTTGCCCTCTCCTGCTCTGGACCAGCTGACCTTCTTTTACTTAACTTAGAGAATTGTATTATTTCCTGCTTTGGGGTCTTTATCTGGGCTGTCCTTTGTGGCTTTTTCTTTTGTCTGAAATATTTGCTGTTCTTCTCGTCACATCCTCAACTCCCTTTCATCTCTTGCCTAAATTCCAGTTACCTTTAGGGTCTTAATTAGGCACACCCATCCCAACCCCTTTATTATATTAGGTTAAGTTTTCTAGTACAAATTTTGCTTTTCAGTATTTAAGATAATTGTAATAAATTTACTATTTATGTAATTATTCTTTTGGGAGGGGGCTGGGGATTGAACCCAGTCTTTGCACTGAACTACGTCCCCAGCCCTTTTTGAATTATTTATCAACCCTTGTCTGCCTCTAGCTCTTATCTGAGAGACTTCATTATGATTTAGTCAACATTGTTGGGGGATTCTCGGTTAAATACAACTTGCCCAGATGCTCACTGAGGCAGGCAGACTGGGTTCTTACGTTTCCTTTCAGCTTTTCCCTCTTTTCTGGGGAAGGCAGCAAACTAGATTTCAAAAGCAAAGACGCCTGGCACGTTGGCACACGCCTGTTATCCTAGTACTCGGGTGGCTGAGATGGGAGGACCTGAGTCCAAGGCCAGCCTGGGCAACATGCTGAGACCCTGGTTCAAAAAAAAGAGAGAAGACAAATTGAGCTTTTACTTCCAAGAACTGTGTTACTTCCTTTCTTGGGGTCTTTATCTGTGCTGCTCATCTGTTCTGGTCTCCCTGTCATCTCTTGCCTGAATTCCAAATTACCTTTAAAGTTTTAATTTGGGTTTTATTTTCTTAGAAACACCCCCAAAAGAGATGGGGGTCTCACTAAATCACTGAGTTTCCCAGAGTAGGCTTGAATTTGTCATCCTCCTGCCTCAGCTTCCCAGAGTGTTCTGATTACAGGTATACATCACCATATCCAGCTATAATTATTTAATGTCTGTAAAATCCATACAGGCAGAGATCATGTCTATCGTTTGTCACTTTTAGTGCCTGAAAAGAAGTAGTTTCAAAAATATTAATCGTATGAATACAAGTGCTATGTTTTGCTGAGTTCTCATTCATTCAGTAGACATCTGCTGAGCTGTGGGCCAGCATGGGAAGAGAGGAAAGTGGGGCATCCAGAGATAAACAGTCTGGGAAGTCTCATCCACTGGGGGAGCCGGCATGCAGACCTCTGTAACTGGCCTACGCTTCAAAGTACAGAGTAGATGTGGACAAAAGGCTGGAAGGCAGGGAGGTAGTTTTCAGTGTTATCACCTTGTTCAGTGAGCTAAGCCCCTGCTCTGTGCCAGGGCTAGACATCGAATAGTGGAGAAGGAAGAGTCCCTACCTTCAGGAAAATTTAAGTCTAGCAAGGGAAAGAAACTAGAAGACATTCCCTCCTAAACCCAGGGGTTTATCTTTTTTTATTTTATTTTTGGCTTTTTGGACAGGGTCTCACTATGCAGTTCAGGCTGGCCTTGAGCTCATGTTGTAGCCCAGGCTGGCCTCAATCTCACAATGATCCTCCTGCCTCAGCCTCCCAAGTGCTAGGGTTATAGGCCTGGTCCAGGGTTTATCTTACAGAATGAGTAAGGGCATGACTTTGGAGTTAATCTTTTTGGTCTAAGCATCTTTATTACCTCAAGCCCAGGGTAAAACAATTACAGATACTCTTCATTAATCAGAAGATTAATGCCACCACGCCTGGTCCAGGGTTTATCTTACAGAATGAGTAAGGGCATGACTTTGGAGTTAATCTTTTTGGTCTAAGCATCTTTATTACCTCAAGCCCAGGGTAAAACAATTACAGATACTCTTCATTAATCAGAGCATCACAGCACTCTGGGAGGCTGAGGCAGAAAGATCACAAGTTAGAGCCCAGCCTGGGCAACTTAGTGAGGCCCTGTCTCAAAAAAATAAAATAGTAAAATAAATAAAATGGACTGGAGATGTAGCTCAGTGTAAAGGCCCTGAGTTCAGTCCTTGTACTGAAAAAGGAGAAGGAGGAGAAGAAGAAGAAGAAGCAAAAAACAAAACAAGTGACATCCCAAGAAAAGGGGCAGGGAGGACAAGGGACACAGTTTCCTTTAGTTGCATCTCTGGTTAATTCACCTGTGAACCCCTTCCCACGGCCAGAGACCTATAGTTCTTCATCCCAGCAAGGAGTATGTGCATTTAGGTACTTCCTGTTTGCAATATGCCATTGCTTATGTGGCTTGCATGCTGTCCTCTGAAGTAGGGCAGGGAAGTGCGTTTTACAGCTGAGCAAATGTTTTGAATGGCAGTCTTGCCCACAGTTATGGCATTCAGACTGGGAAGGGATCATATGAATAAGAGAATATGGTAAAATATTTCATTAATTAAAATTTTTGATTGTATGTTGAAATTATAGATTAAATAGGGTATAATAAGTAAAATAAAATATAATAAATACAGTAGGCTGTTATAGGTTAAATAAAACATTATTAAAGTTAATATCTGTTTATTTTACTTTTTAAAATATATCTGCTGATATATAAAATATATCTGGCACACTTGGGAGGCTGAGGCAGGAGGATTGCCACAAGTTTGAGGACAGCTTGGGCTGTATAGTGAGTTTAAGGCTAGCTTAGACTACATAGTGAGATCCTGTATCAAAAACAACAACAACAAGAATAAATAAATAAATAAAAATATGTGTGTGTGTATATATATCTGCTAGAAGAATTTATATTACTTTTAAATTTAGTATTGTATTTCTCTTGTACCATATTGGGCTACAACTTAACCACACAGGTTAACCTGGTTTATGAGGGGAGGCTGTGAACTATAATATTTTGACAGTGTTATCAAAATGAGATTCTTCTTCTTTTTTTTTTTTTTTGGTACCAGGAATTGAACTGATGACCTCGCACTTACCAGGCAGGCCCTGTGCCACTCAGCTATATCCCCGGCCCCTCTTCTTCCTCTTCTTTTTTTTCTGCTTTTTTTGAGGCAACATCTCACTAAGCAGTGCAGGCTGGCCTTGAGCTTGCTTCTGTAGCCCAGGCTTGTCTCCAAGTCATGCCAATCCTGCCTCAGCCTGCACAATGCTGGGATTACAGGTGTGCATCACCATACCCAGCACCAAATTCATTATTGAGGAAAAAGGGAAAAACAGACATTTGTAGTAGGCACTCAGTGGTATCTGCCATATCTTTTTTTTTTTTTTTTTTTATGGAAAGTTTGAGGATAGACAGAAAATCTACGTGCTGAATTGTAAGTGGTTTCCATAGTAAAGAAATAGCCAATCTCTGTTTTCAGGGTGCATTATAACTGGTTTGGAAGACATGCAGAATATACACAATAAAAGTGCCATTGGGGAAAAAAAAAAGTCCCATTGAAGTAGCCAAAATACATTTAGGGGCTGAGGCTGGGCTGACTCAGTGGGATCGGGTGGGTGGACCTGCATGCACTTCCTGGAGGAGGACATGGGCACACTGGGAGAGGAGGCCTCTGCTGGCTGGAGAGAGCCTCTATGGGCACTTTCCCAGACCAGACTCCTCTGGTTAGGGTTAGGGCCACCAGCAGATATGGTTGGAATGGGGGTGAAAGTGGGGCCATTCTTTTGATCCCCTTCTCTGTTGTTGGAATCTCTAGGACATTGTATTCAGCCTTCTGCATGGAGCTGGCCTCTCGTGGCTTTGTGGTGGCGGTGCTGGAGCACAGGTGAGGGACGACAGTCACAACGACCTGTCACGACAGTCACAACAACCTGTCACGGAGTAGGTGCCTGCGCTGAGCTAGGGTGTAGGCTAGTTCCCTATCAGTGTATGATGTCTTTTTCTTTTTCAGAAGACTTTGTTTTACAGTGAGGGTCAAGCCCGGGGCCTTGAGCACGCTAGGCAAGAGCTCAACCGCTGAGCTTCACCCCCGGCTCCCATGTGTCATTTCTAATCCTTCCACCAAGGCAAGGTGTTAGAGTTATTTTTAAAAGGAGAAAACCAAAGTTCAAAGATAACTTGCAGAAACTGACACAGCTGAGTCAGGGTTCAAAGTCCAGGTCTGTTCTCAGAATTCACGTTTTTTTCTACTCTCCTTTGCCCCTCCCCAGATTTCCTTCCCAGCCGAAGGGGAGCCTATCTCTCTTGGCTGGAAGGGAGATTTGGGAAGGGAGAGGCGTAAGCTGATGAGTCTCTCCTGCTTTCCTTCTGATGGCGTGTGTATTTCAGGGACCAGTCAGCTGCTGCTACCTATTTCTGCAAGCAGGCCCCAGGGGAGAACCAGCCTGCCAATGAGTCACTGGAGGAGGAATGGATCCCCCATCGTCGGATTGAGGAAGGGGAGAAGGAATTCCATGTTCGGAATCCCCAGGTAGACTTACACCAATTGGGGAGGGAGAGTTAATAACCCTGTTTTCTTTGTACTTTACCCACTGTATTATCAGCTTTCCCTTGCTATAGGAAATACCTGCGCTAATAATAAGAGCAAAGGTGTATTTAGGTCATAGTTCTAAAGGTTCCAGTCAAGGTCAGGTGGACCCATTGCTTTGAGTCTCTGGGGTTGCTAGATGGCAGTGGTGTGTGTGTGTGTGTGTGTGTGTGGTGTGTGTGTGTATGTGTGTGGTGGAGCCACTCACTTCATGAACTCAAAGCAGAAGAGACTGGGGTCCCGTAATTCCTTGAGGGCATGTCCCCAGGGATCTGAGGGCCTCCCAGTAGATTCACCTCCTAAAGATTTTACCACTTCCCTTAGAGCCACCCTAGGGACAAGTTTTTACTCGATGGACCTTTGGGGGATGCTTATCCAAACCATGCCATTCAATAAGCAAGTGTTTTAACTGACCTCTCTCAAAATCTCTATCATGGTGGTTCTAAGCTTGCCATATCAATGGGAATAAATGGGGTATGAAGCAGGTCTTTTATAATTGCCAGGATCAGAAACCCAATTTTAGCTTGTTTGTATGATAAAGAGAAGTAGTTGACTCATGTCGGTACACTATAGGGAGAGCAAGACCGCTGGAACCAGCTTCAAATGCCATTAGGACTTGCTCTCAGAGAGAGCTGGCTCAGCTCTGTCTCTGTGCCTTTGGGCTCATCTGTAAACTGGCTTCTTTTCCAAGGTTTGCATCACAGCTCTTAACAGGCCTGAGCTTGCAGATGTTTGACCTGATCATCAGAGGATAGGGATGTTTAGGGATTCTCCCCAGTCTCCCACGCCGGCGCCAAGCTGCAGTTTGAAAGATTCTAGAGAGGGATTCCCAGCCTGGGGAGAAGTGCCAGATGAAAGTTCCCGCCAGAAATACCTCATGAGATTTGGCTCAGGGGTGGTCCTCAGAAGCTGGGGTTCACAGGAGGAGGGAGTTGCCTGGTAAGTGCTAGGCAGACAAAAGCAACAGATGTGTACTATAAATGAGCAAGTAGAACCCAGCACTGGATTGCTAATAACACTCTCGATTCCTCTTGTTTTTAAAATGGTTTCCTATACATCATCTCACTGATCCTCCTGACAGAGTCTGAACAAGACTGATTCCATTATGCCATTCGGTGGTGTTTCTGTGAGCTGCAAAGGCCGATGTGCTTGCTGAGATGGGTGTGGGCAGCTACCCCTACCCTTAGGGGAGTAAGGTTGTTGCTAGATGGTTGTGGGGTGTTCCAGCTCCCGTCACCCTCTCTGTTGCAGGTACACCAGCGGGTAAAGGAGTGTGTTCAGGTGCTGAGGATCCTGCAGGAAGTTACTGCAGGGGAGACTGTCCTCAACGTCTTGCCTGGTGGGTTGGATCTGATGACCTTGAAGGTATGGCAGCCACTGGTATGACTCAGAGCCCACATACTTATCTAAACTTTCTTGGTTACAAGTAATAAACCCATTTCATTAGCTTAACCCAAAAGAGAGCTTACTGGCCCACACAGCTAGCAAGACACTGGCAGATTTCAGACCAGTGTCGGTAGATCCAGGGTCAGAGACATTGTGTGAAAGCCCTGGCATCCTTCCTTCCCTTGTGACTCAGTTTCCGCCTGTGTGTGTGGACTTTCTTCAAGTTTGACTCCAGCCTGGGGCAACCTGGTGACTTATTAAGGCCCTTTGTCATTAAATTATAAATATATACATGCATATATTATAATTATAATTAAAAACTTTAAAAGGGACTGGAGCTATAGCTCAGTGTGAAGGCCCTGGGTTCTATCCTCAGTACTATAATAGATAGGTAGATAGGTAGGTAGGTAAATAGATAGATAGATAGATAGATAGATAGATAGATAGATAGATAACAAACTTGCTTCTAGGCTATGACCCAGTGTTGGTCGCATCCTCTCCACCATCCCCAGCCAGTCACTGTGCTAGAGGGAGAGGGTATTGTGATTGGCCCACCTGTGTCCACTTCTGGGTCATTGGAATCTGAGCTCTGGTATTGAGGTCCCCACCAGGCCACATGGATAAAGGAGGAATGATTCATTCTCCAGGGAAGAGCTGTGGGGCAGCAGACTACCTGTGTGTGCCTACTGCAAGCTAATTCTTTGAGGAAATCCTGCCACCCTCCCAGGAGGGTATGAAACCATCCTGGCCGTGGGGTTGGATGCCTATAAAGGTACAGTCTCCCCCTACACCCAGTCTTTTCCCAATTTCAAAAGTAGTTCAGGCTGTATTCAGAGAACCAAGAAATCACACAAAAGGATAAAGAAAAAAACCTTTTAAAAAATATTTTGATGTTTGTCATTCCAGTGTTTTTAGATTTCATTAACGTGTATCTATCCACCTCAATCAGTCAGTCTATCTATCCATCCGTCTACCTATCTAATTTATGTGTGCTTGTGTGCATGTGTATGTTGTGTGCATGCGCAGTACTGGGGATTGAACCCAGGGCTCTCACTGAGCTGCATCCCCTGCCTGCCCCAGGTTGCCCAGGCTGGGCTGGAACTTGGTGGTTATCCTAGCTACTTTTCTCATTGCTGAGACAAAATGCCTAGTACCCAAAGGTTTTTTTTTTTTTT